TATGTGTATGTATGTATGTATGTATGTATGTATGTATGTGTGTGTATGTGTATGTATGTATGTATGTATGTATGTATGTATGTATGTATGTGTGTGTGAGTGCGCGCACATGACCATAAAGCTCATGCTTGTGAGATGTATGTAACATATAGATTTCACAAATTAAACATTATATTCTGAACTGAGTCTTCTTTGATGGGCATTTAGAAGTTGAGTTGATGAAGAATGATGACAATTTCTATGGATATACAACTTCTTTTATTGTGAAAGGCGACGTTTCCACATAGATTCACTTGCTTGACAACGACATTACAATCTATGTCGAAACATCGCCTTTCACAATAAAAGAAGTTGTAGATCCATAAAAATTGCCATCATTCTTCTTGAACTGAGTCTATATAATCATTAGAGAAGTACTATCTATGTACTTCTAAAAAAATGTAGACTCATAATAGGACATAATGTTTGGGATTACGCACAGTAGTCGTTAGCGTAAAACATCCTGTTTATCTATGATCACACATTCGATAACAGGTAAAAATCCTTTGATTTTTTTAACATTAACGCGCACGCGCCAAACCTACCTGTCCTCAGAGGTAGTGTCCCAGTCATTCATCACCTGTTACTCCTATAGTCCGTGAATGTTTAAGACAGTGTTCACATCAAGTGTGTGTCGTGCATCACCTGGGATACCTACCTACCTTATGTCAATGTTTTCCTTTCATCCACGGCGCCAGCGGTATGTCCTTGTGTTGTGTTGTTTCCGAGTCTTACGCTCGCATTATCTTACATCGGAACTCTCTCCCAAACTCTCTTATCTCGCGACCTCTAATGAGAGTCACCATAGCAACTCGAAAACCTTATTAACTAAGGTTGATGAATGTGTGGGGTTTGTCAACAAAGGGAGGCAAACACTGAGGAAGATACCGTTTGCCTTTTAAAAAATACCTGGATAATGTACAAACAGCTCCACAAAATAAATCTACAGAAGGGGGACAATTGCTAAAGAGAACGTATATATTCTGTATATATGCGTGAGATAGAATTCACAGCAGTAAGTGTGATATAAAGGGAGATAACTGCTATCGAAGGGCAACTATCTGTCCCCATACTGAGAAGACGGTGCGCAATGTATAATTACAAGGGTAGGTACAGTAGTTTCTCCTTAGGCGAGCGTTCTTTCAAGGAGATATTTACTTTTGTGGGTTCACAGATGAATACGATTTTGTAAAACTTTCGCAATAATGAGAGCCCTATCTAGAATCACAAACGTCGCGATGTGTCTTGAACAAATCGTAACTTAATTGAAAAGAAAACCCCGTTAAGGTTATAGTTGAATGGTGTCCTGATGTCAGTGTCTTGTGCGCTGATGGCGTGGAAATATGCCAAGGGCGGGGAGGTTTTATCTTGTGATACCTGTGCAGATATCTGCTTGGTTGAAAGAAAAAAATATAGATGAAAGCGTTAACGACAACAAAACACAGAGAGTTTAGTCTTGTGAACACAGGTTCTGCAACTCTAGTGCACATGTGCAGACCACGTTTCGACTTGCATCTTAAGATTATGGAGAGTGATTGAGTGGAGGTATTTTGAACGCCCAGTGAGTAATGTGGCAGCTTCATCACGACTGCATGTGGTAACAGATTAATGGCCACACAAACAATGGTCGCTAGCATCAACATCACCCTACGCTTATGAAGCACCACGACATGCAATCAGCCAAATGACACCTTTTGTTACAACTCATTCCTACTTTTTGACCAACTCATAAAGGAACCGATGCTCTGTTAATGTGATCGTAAAGTCCGTTTAGATGGTACTTCAGTTATATCACGATATTCCAGCTGAATGTGTGAAAGACAGAAGTAATTCGGGTCAAACACGTTCACCATCTTGGAGAAGTATCAGCGCCAAACGTGGTTTTAAACCCGTGATCATAGGTTTCTTACACACCTAAGGCAGGTTGTAGAGTCTTATACAAATGGGTCATAATTCATAATGTAGCAACATCCCCCATTGATAAAATTATATAACCGTGTTTCGTAATTTTATATATTTCTAATAATAACGTTGAATTTCCGTATTTTAACTCAACATAATTAACAAGGCAGAAAGCCCTTTACAAAGGACCCCGTTTGTGATGACAGAAAATACAGGTATATTCTCCCCATTACCATATTCAGCTTCAGGTAAAACTCTGACGTTCAGTTAAGCATAATCGTTTTCGAATGACAGTGGTGATATAAACAACAAGCATCTATCACAGGGTGGTTAACTTTCACAAAAGTATGAAATAAATAACTAATATATCAACTAGTGATATAATTCATTATTCTCACGCACACATATGCACTTATATTCATTATTCTCACGCACACATACATGGGCCAGGTGCTCTCGTGTACACTACTAATGTTGGTTCATTATCTTGAACACGTATGCGTGGTGACATGTGTGTTATATACAAATGTGTATAAGGTGATTATAATCACGTAATATAGTTTATTCTGTCATATTAGATATTATTAAAACTTTTCATCAGACAGGCGTTTTATAAGGAAGTCAAGTAAGGAAATCAAGTAAGTTTGTGTTACAAAGAATGTACTTTTATATGGTCTAAAGTGTTCCGTATTTATCGCTGATCTCGGGATATTGCACAATCTTTCATGACACATCTTCCACGTCTGGCTGATACCTAAGACCGGCTGGAAATGGGCGAGGTAATTTAAAATAGATAAAACCCAGAGGTATGAAAGCATGTGCAATTATACCTTGCAGCCACACAAATACATGTTTATCACTTTGGGTTTCTCACAACGATCTAAAGCTGAAACATGTATGTTCTTGATTTGAGTGTGTGTGGTGCAAGGTTATGCACTTTGTCGTATTTATTTAGTTGTTTAGATATAACTCGCAGGTGGAAACATAACTTGATTTCTATATATTCTTGTAATGCAGTTTGTAATGTAGTTTGTCATATTGAGTCATATTTAGATATTATTAAAACTTTGCATGCGACAGGTGTTTTTTCCAGAATAAATTATAGTTCAGAAGAGTTAAAACCACATGCAACAATATCCGACAGCGTTATAAAAGTTCGATGGTAGATCCGACTTTGTTATAACAACATAACGCTCTACCTGAATCAACTGCAATAACATGACCCTATATCGGAAAAGTTAGGAAATTACTAAGAAAAGAATAGTGATCCTAATATTGAAACTTTCTGCTATCTAGCCCTTAGCTCCAGTGTTATGTCTGACCCATAAACATCCTTCAGAATTAAAATAATAACTTATCATCAGGTTATTCCACAACAAACAGTGAACTCTCCTGCTAATGAAAACATACGTCCATGTGTAACAGAGCATAAATGTAAAAAACAAACAAACAAACAAACAAACAAGCAATGTTATGATTGGGAGAACACTTTCTCAGTAAGGTACGGATTCTAATACTTTGGGGTTGAGTCCCACCCGGGATTCGAACCGGGATTCGAACCCACAAACTCAGAGTCGCAAGCACACAGTCAGCGATCTAAGCCACTCAGCAAAACACGCGCTTCCACTTAAATGGTTATTCGATATCAATATATCTGTATCTAATACAGGTATCACAGCTGTGTTGTAACCTGGAGTTTTCGGTGTTATATTGTCTTACACAGGTAAAAACAGTGGCTGAAAGAAACGTCAGTGTGAACACACAGATTGCTGATAATAGATTTCATACTGGAGTAAGACAAAGAAACCACCACTTTCATTTTCAGTACCATTGTATCTACATGGAATAGAAACATATATGTGTAGCGGCCATAAAATTTCCGAGTCCCGTGCTGGGATTCCAACCACGGGTTAACTTCTTTGGTCATGTGGACAAGGCGTCCGACTTCGGATCAGAAGGTCCGCGGTTCGAATCCAAGCACGGGACTCGGAAATTTTATGGCCGCTGCACATGCATAGATGTGAATGGGTTAAATCTTTAGTGGGTTAGTGAAATAGATGTATTTTTAAGGGTTAAGATGTCACCTGTTATAATTAAACGATACCTACAAACTATGACGGGAATATTGATGGTTTAGAGAACACTTATAATGGATTTTATGATTATAGTTGATATAAACATAAACGTCTGATATTTAGTGGTGGGCCTAGATGAAATGGTAAGTGAAGTTTCTCCAATGGTGATAATCTGTTAGATATTGATGATAGTTTTATTTTCTTGTTTAGGAATTTGTATACGCAGGAAGGGCAGTTTTGTAACATGAACTGCACCAGGATAAAAATAATCATTAGTTATGTTGGACAACTCCATGATTATGAGACGTCCCCTTAGAGAGACTTACACACTTACCCTGATATAACTAATATATACATCAGAACCTATGCAGGTATATACAGATTAGCATGTCAAGATTACATTTTCTGCACGTGAAAGAGTCTGTGTGGCTCATTTTATCATAGATTATTAAGATCATTTCACAACTGTTCGTTGCTGACAGTGTTGCATTTCAAAAACTAGATGTTTGCGACATACCATCAATGATGCTAACTCTGTGTATTTCACCATCCCTTTGCGCTATATTGCAAGCATTAATTACAGGTGTAATACATTTGAAAGGGCTGAGCGTGACACATCCTGGATAATCTCCAGGGTATACGTTCTGATAAATCTCCACTATAGTACCCTGGAGATTATCGAGGATGGGCGTGACATGGTGTCTATCATTTGGCATCATGTGATGTTGAGTCTCTCTGCGTGATCCGTGGCCACTCGAATAAGAAAAAAAAGAAATTGGTGAGAATCAAAATTTGTTTATGCAGCCTTATTATGCATGTCCCCAAATCTATGTCAGCAGATAACATCTAGATTAATAATAGTTCGGATGCATTTCAATAGATGGTACAAGAGCGTTTGCGTACCTGGTACTTTCGCTTCTTAGTCATAGAACTAGTCTTCCGTATCAGTTTCGACCAATCATATTCAAGCGCAGGTGCGGGGTTTTCAAAATGGCGGTGTCTGTAGGAAGTGGACTCTGGATCGCTTTGACATTAGCCGTTGTACTCTTCTATTTTCTTGTTTTCTATGTCTTCCCACATGTTGAAGTGCTTGCTAGGTTATACCTGATAGGAAAACTTCGAGAAAAGGAGAGCAAATCGAAAATCTTCAGCCTTTTCGACGTTCCAAAACGGTAAGGCGCCGGGTTGATATCATTATGAAACTGTGATTTCTGGTATTCTGTCACTGTCAGTTTGTCATTACTGCGATTCTGTGGACCATCAAATATATTACCAAGACGATGTGTTATTGACCTAAAAGGATGTATGCTAATTTAATAAAGAGGACATTGTCCATGGAAACTCTAGACTAGAGTCTAGTCTAGTCTATAGTTTAATGAGTCGTGCGTATGCAGCAATGCAACAAGCACAAGACAGAGTCTCGATCAATTCAGAGAGCAGTGAAAGGAATTAGTGATCTAGTCTGTTTCAACAACGATAGAGACTGAATATAAAATGGAGTCAAACTCAATCCGAGAATGTTTGTGCAAATGTAAATTGCCTCGATCAGCTCTAGGAAATGTGCATTGTTCTGGGATCCATTTGGATTATTTTTATTATTATTTTGTATGTATAGAATAGACATTTCTTAAGCAGATTATTTCTGGGATTAAATGTCAGTCAAACAGAGACCTCAAGTTTCCTTTATAACCTAATGACAATTAAAAGATCTTTACAGTTAACTGAGTGCAGCTTGTACTTGTTATTTTGCTAACTAACTACAGCTGCAGGCCTTACTGCCTTTTCATCACGTTTCTGATTAAGAGCATTTTTAAACACCATTATCTTTATTTACATCTTTCCAATCAAAAACCCCTTTACCATCCTTATAGTTTGTTGAGAGTTAGGCTGACAGGTTCATTCTCTCTCTCGATCAGTTTACCATTGTAATGTACTGGGTTTTTGTAGTTGAAGATCTTTATGGATTGACAACTGCATTTTATATCCTAAACTAGGACCAGTCAGTATATCATCATTTTATGAACACATTTCTGTAACTATAATGTCTGTTTTGTTGATTAAAGTTAATTTATTTTGGAGAGCAAAAAGTCTAAGTATTCCCAATTTTAGAAGTTGATAGCTAGATTTCTAAAATCAGGTATATACTTAGTTACTGACTTGGTAAAAAATGATGCTATCATCAATGCTTGTTTCAGATGGTTCACCCACTTCTATGTGGTTGGCATCGTGGTGAACACTTCCCTCATTGTCCTGCTGATGAGAGTAGTGGTGTTCCATGTTCCCTTCCCACAACCAGTGCAGAACATCCTTAACACTCTGTGGGCACCCAACTACACACCGGGTGAGAAATGCAGGGGAGGCAATGCAGTTTGTTCAATGCTTGTTTAAATGATAGCACAGAGATTCAGATTGATGTGGTTTTACTATTAATCAGTGCAAACCCTCAGTTGATTAGCCAAGCATAAAATGTTTGAATACTTTGATCATGATGCTTTAACATACGTCAAAATGTGACTAAGGTGATGTATGTAGCAGATGGCAACTCACTTCTTAAGATCAAGATGCTGATCTATTAGTATGTAAAAAAAATCAAGTAATCCTTTGACTTTGTTATAAATATGCAAAACTAAGCAGTGAATGGGTACCAGACAGGTTGAGATGATAATGGGACTGAGTGCACACTGATGCAGTGATGCATTGACCTGGGTAACAATAATGTATATCAATGCCCATTCAATTTGTGGATAGTATCTGATGCATTACATACAGACTTATGTTTTTGCTTTTTTTTGCAGAGGGGGTGTCAGGAACAGCTGTTGTGGTGGTGTTGGTGATGGAGGAGCTGCAGGTGTTGCGGCGATGTTACGAGTGTCTTTATGTCAGCGTGTTCTCGGACAGCAGGATCAGTGTTGTACATTACATCATGGGGATACTGCTGTATCTCACCTTTGGCAGCTGCATTCTTGCGTCAACTGATTTTAACAACTTCAAACTGACAGGTCTCTTCATCTTAGCTGTCTCAGTTATACCATGTACACGGAGTACAATCAAAATTAAAGATTATGTCTTGGTAATTCTATATATCCATGGAGCCTTTTTATCCCTCAGGTTTCTGACGGCTGTCTGTCAAAGCTCTACTGAGATAACCTCCATTTGCATCGGGTGGTGGGGTAGCATAGTGGTTAAAGCATTTGCTCGTCATGCCGAAGATCTGCATTCGATTCCCCACATGGGTATAATGTGTGAAGCCCATTTCTGGTGTCCCCGTCGTGATATTACTGTAATATTATTAAAAGCGGCGTAAAACATTACTCACTCACTCCATTAGCATCATGGAGCAACCCTAAAATTTGTAATGTTATTAATTCGTCTAGAATGACAACTTCTTTCTAGTTTGCATATTTTACCAGATGCTGATTTATTTCATTATCGACCATGACCTGTGAAGTTGCAGATTAATCAAGTGTTATGTTGTATCTGGATGTTTCAGGTGTTGATCAGATGGGCCTAGTGTACATTGTGATGGGCTGCTTCCTCTTCTTTCCTGGCATCAATGTTGCAGCATCAGACACTGCACATCTTGTCTAAACTCAGGAAAAGCCACACTGGTGAGATGAAATGCATTTGCATAGCATTAGTAACTAAGAGCCTTAACCAGGCTAAATTATGAAAAGTTGTTGGTGTATTTTCCTAAGTTCAGAGGTAATTTAGCATTGAATTTTTATTTTGTGTTCAATACAATAATACTAAACTTAGGTACCGTAAATAATTTATGGTTTGGGTGTGTTGAGGGTGGTGGTGATGATATTTATGGAGAAGCATGTACAATGACCCCTCTAAAATCTATATACAAAGTGAGTGACCCCCCACCCCCTGCTTGTGATGTACAAAATCAATGCTCCCTCCCCTAATTTTTGAGCATATTTTTTTAAAGTATTTTATGTACAAAATTAAATTGCTGACCCCTTAGTACATTTGTACAAAATTGATGACCCCCTACCTCCCCAGAATAAAGAGGGTGACCCCCCATGGGTGAATATCAAGTGCCATGATGTTTCCACCAACCTCTCTTAAATATTTAGCTGTGCTTGACCTATAGTGGTCATATTTGACTGAGGACTTGAATGTATAAAAAGGATGGACTGGTTTGTCCAGTGTATTATATATCCATGGACCCATCAGCCACCAAGGCCTCATGTTTGTCTGTCACAACCCTTTAAATAGCTGCCCAAATCACTCTGAGTGTGAGAAGTTTTGTGCTTAGCTCGAGATGGTGGTGACATCATTTCTGAAACAAAGCAATGTTGTGGAAATCTTTTCCGTTGTATTTGTTATAAAGAAATAGACGTATACTGTAGTACACTGGATAGCTGAAGATGAAATTAAACTGAACATCTCATAGTTCTGTGGAAACAGGGACTGAAGAGTTATTTCCCTTAGACAGAAATACGCAGAAAAAATCCTTCTGAGATACATTAAGCTTGGGTCTTTGAAAGTTTCTGTCTATTGTAAGGTGAATTAGGGCTTTTGTAGTTTTCGGGCAGTGGGGTAGCCTACTGGTTAAAGGGTTCGTTTGTCTTACCAAAGACCCGGGTTCGATTCCCTACATGGGTACACTGTGTGAAGCCCATTTCTGGTATCCCCGCCGTGATATTGCTGGAATATTGCTGAAAGCGGCATAAAATTAAACCCACTCACTAATTTTGTAGTTTTCTTTTAATTAAGGACATTATTACTCCTTTCTCTTCTGTGCAGGAGTGGTAGAGAATCGACAACATCTGCTCCCCAATGGCGGACTGTTTGAGTATGTGTGCTGCCCTCACTTCTTCTGTGAGATCCTCATCTATCTGGCCATGAACATTGTTGTCCAGTTCCAGCATCAGGCCTGCCTCAATATCGGCATCTTCGTCCTCGTCAACCAGGTCATCATGTCCCTCATGACTCATGACTGGTACCGCAAAAACTTCCGCATGTTTCCAAAAGACAGAAAAGCTGTCTTTCCTTATCTTTTGTAAACCAAGACATGTTGTGGTACTTAAGAACATGTTTTCAAAGTTATATTTTGTACACTATTTACATATTTTACATTTGGATCATAAATCTCAAATGTGTAATGTCTCAATCATGCTCATGTCCATCCACAATTATTCTGTGTATCTCCATTTTTTATAGTTAGTACTCTATACACATCTTACTGTAGCATCAGTTCAAGAAGTGTGGCACCATTTGTCTCTTATCACTTAGAACAGAGCTTCTTTTACTCATGAGGTGGCCCAGTTGTCCAAAACACTGCAGTTTGCTGTGCAGAGTTGCATCCCTTTGCACATATAAAGCCTGTCATTCAAACAGTTGCACTTCAGCTGAACCATGGGTCATTCAGTTCTCCTGAAACACAAGCTTGTTTCTTTAGCTTTTAATTAAAGTGTATTTTTTAAAACTTTGTATGAAAGCATAATCTTTAGTGTCAACACTGCTTCTTGGAATGCATTGTCTTAAGATTATTGAGATTGTTTGTCTTGTAGGAAGCAGAATTCTTTTGATGCAGTTTACTTGTGAAGAATGCACTTAAGGGTCTTGTCCTTTGATGTTAGCTTATTGTGTTGTTTTTCAGTTGTTCTTACTGAACATTTGTACACTTTCATTACATATGTGGCCAACTAAATCAAGTTATCTAGTCAGAAATCTGTCGTTGCATTCAGAGGACATCATGTTCATAGTTATGAAATATTTTGGAAATAATTTGGTAATTGTTTTGCTGACACAGCACCTTATGTGGTGCAGTAAATAGCTATATATGGAATTATTTGCAAATGCTTTGCTGTGTTGTCAACTAGTGTTGGGAATTGGTTAAAATCTCAAAATTGATGATTGGTTCATTACAACCGATGAATCATCGAAAATAATTGGTTAGTGTCATTTATCAAATTTTCCTGGTTATGTTTCTTAATGCACAAAAAATAAAGAAAATACATGTTGTTCTTTCGGTTTTTTTTCAAATCTGCACACAATGCATTTGTAAATTTCACATCTTTACAGGATGACTAGTATGTTAGGAACATAAATTTCCTGGACTCTTTAAGATAAATTCAATCATGACTTGGAACGAACTTGTAGTGCTTATGAAATGTAACAGACAAAATATTGTTAAAATTAATGCAAACAAGTGTTCCAAAATTGTTTGTGTTCGATTATGAGAAAACATGGCCGATTGCTTGGTCGTTTAGTCATTGCAACCAGTCTTTGATTATTTCAATTAATCGGACCACCACTATTGTCAACTTGTCAAGTCAGTGTTTAGGTTACTGTTTGTTTTACACCATGTTGCTACATGTAGTTCACTATGATTGGTTTTTAATTCATTTAAATTTTAAGAAACAGCTTTTGTCTTATTTTCAGACTTTTTTCTCTCAATGTTTGCCATTCTGTGAAACCGATATTGCTATATGAAGTGATTTTTAGGGTTGAAGGGTATTTGAAGAAGGAAACTTGAATTCGCATAAGTTGCATACATGTAATTTTTAGTATCCTGTATTAGACTGTTGACACCTGTGTGTAAGTACAGTCATATTACTGCATGTGAATACATCCTGCTGATGTACACTTTGTCACTTGTAGGCATCTGTTTGTTCTCAAGTTTCTCGTGTTATTGTTCATGTTAAGGTTTTTTGAACTGCGGCAGTATTTTATGCTTGACATTTTAGAAAAAGAATTTGTAGTCACACCATGGTGCAATCGACAGTTCAGTATTTAATCTTTGTTGGTATTTTTTACATGTTTAGTGACTAATTGTATGTATTTTGGCGAATAACTTAACAGTATTTTCCATTTGTTGCTGTAGCATTATACAGTGTGTTTTTGGTCATGTTTATATGATGGTAACTTGTCAACGCCTGTGTTCAGTAGTGATGCAGTGATTCTTCTAAGTCACATATTTTGGTATCCCTGTTCTTTGTAATAATAGTTACATGTTGTATCCTAGCAACTGTTCAGAGCGAAGTTTTGAGGGTGTTACTATTATAGCATATACATTAGGGCTATGACTCGATTATTTACAGACCGTCATCATATAGTTGGAATATTGCCGAGCATTTCTATGCTTGTTTTATGCAGATATGTGTCTTATCTGAGAAACTGCTGATATGTACAGTGTTGGTGTTGTTGTAAGGTTCAAGTTCACATTCTTGGCCAGCCTCACTACAGTGAAAAGCCATGTTTGTAACATGCTAAAAAGTTTAGAATTATTTTTGTTTACAGACACTCACAAATAATGAAATCCCAAATGTAAATTTATTGGGAATGTTTATCAGATTGGTTGATCTGCATCCGATTGTCCTTTATATGAAGGTTTCACTTTCCTCTGTATGTTGGTATGCTGATGTTAGAAATCTGTTGGAACTCTAAACTGGCAATCATGGCTGATTAAGAGTCCTGGTTCATATATATATACACATGGAAAAAAGTAGTGCAACATCCCATCTTTTTCATAGTATCATGTTATCATTAACCATAGCAAACAAACTTTTCCAAACCTTAATTTATTGATGAATTGCCCTGGGGGAAAAATAAAATAGCAAATCTAAACACAAAAAGAATAGAAACATTTATGAAGCAAACATGGAAAAAAATTGACTTATTTTGTACTATGGCTGTGTGATGTTAATGATGGCTGCTTTGTGCTCTGGGGATAACAACAGGTGTCAGCTTGGTCTGTGTCTTGACCTGGCCATTTTTAAGAGATGTTGGACTGTTCTGTTGGACAAACAACGATGTGATGCTTGCCTTTGATGATAGCAAGTGCACATCTAAAAGCAGTGTATGGTATGCTCGAAGGGGCAAAATAATCATACAAACAATTATGATATGAATATGATTGGCTATATGGGGGTGCGATACCTTTTTCTATACATCTAAGTATATATACCCCATATTTAATGCTTAGCTTCAATGATAATCTTATGGCTAACCTCTGGACCTATATGTTAAATGTCCTGTGCATAAGTGTCTTGTACTGAACCTTGAACATGTTCATGATAGTCCATGTTTCTATTCAGATGGTATAGAAGGGATATGTAGTACAAAGTTACTAAAATCAAGTAAGTTTTTGTTTCATAGATCAGCTTAGTGTGTTCTTAAACACAGCATAGTATCATTAAAAATAACTTAATGCATGAACATTGGCATGATTTCCCTTTTATTCTCAGCAAAATGAAATACGTGTATTTAAAAAATGGTCACATTTATTATGCTACATAATAGTTTTTTTGTTATTTGAATAAAGGTTTATGTGAAATTATGTTGATGCATGTTCATCAGATGTCATAAATGTTTACTTTTCAGTCACTAAAACACCCAATTTCCGGTAATTTGATATTGGATGTCTTACAATGGTCCAATTTGCCTGTACTTTTCAGTAAAGCAATCATATCAACATCAGTGAAGAGATATATATTTGATGTACTAAAACATTTGTATCTATAAATTCACCAATTACCTCCAATGCATCAAACAGGTTAACTAACAGTCTTTGTGCAATGGAATCCCTTGAAATGCTTAGGTATTTCCATGTTTGTCTTACTGCAGCATGTTTTGTATATATTGACCTATACTTGTGTATATGATTTCTTGCCATTTATATTTATTCTCATTATTTATCATAGTCAGTAATAAACCTCGTAAAGATTGTCTTCTTGTCAGTGATAAAAGTTGGAGTGGTAGAAGAAAGTGCTTGAGTTTATGATTACATCCTTGGTTGTGGGTTCTAATCTAAATAGTGTTGATCCCTCAGTTGTCGGAACCCTACATGTGTGCCTTGTATGCCTCAATTAGAGTGGTCAAATTGTAACATGTATCACACTGGGTTTGGCCCAGACCTGCTTGATACAACTGAAAGGATCAGTATGCTGTCCACCCAGCCAGTGCATGGTGTACTGTTCTTGACGGGACCAGTGTGTCTGCTTTCTGATCCATAAAATATATCCATATAAGCACATTCCCGTCAATGCTTTAGCGGCCAATGGTGGACGTATCTTAGGCGCATCAAGTACAGGGACAAATCGCATGCTTTAATGTGATGATCAAGGGTAGACTTTTCAGACTCTGAGTTTGCCATTTTCTCTCTACCCGTGAAGGTCCGGGTTAGAATGAACCTTCAGTAACCCATGCTTGTCGTAAGAGGCGACTTACGGGATCGGGTGGTCAGGCTCGCAGGCTTGGTTGACACATGTCATCGGTTCCCAATTGCGCAGGTCGATGCTCATGCTGTTGATCACTGGATTGTCTGGTTCAGACTCGATTATTTACAGACCGCCGCCATATAGCTGGAATGTTGCTGAGTGCGGCGTAAAACTAAACTCACTCATTTACTAATCACCTCTCTAGCGGTAAACGTCTTTAACATGCCGTGGATTTCCTCCCAAAATAGGGTCAGGGTGGCCTGGTAGTCTCAGGCTCCATACAGGGTTATGTCTTTTGGGTATCTATGATTCGTCTTCAGCAACCCATGCTTGTTGTAAGAGGGCGACAAACGTGATCGGGTCGTCAGGCTCGTTGACTTTGCGACACATGTCATCGTATACCCATTAGGTAGATCGATGCACATGTCACGCACTGGATATATGGACAATCAGTGTTTGATGTTGCGAGCAACGCTGTTGGGGTACGTAGACATCAACCGTGACACCCAGTTCGACTGCCCGATCCATTTAGTTCCAACTGGTTGTTTGGTAACATTCTGGGAATATCAAATGGCTGGGAAAACTGATGTTTGACGCCGCTTTTAGCAATATCTTAGATATTTAGGGATTCGACTCTTCCTGACAAGCCAACGAAACTAACCAACAATCACGGATATGATTCTAGAACCCGTGAAGTTCCGGGTTACAATTGATCTTCAG